GCAGTTGCCTCTTTGGTCTTTCTCTTGCCTAGAGAGTAGAATCCCTCTTTTATCCAGGCAGGCACCATTGTCAGAGTACTTGGTGTGTCCTATACACCAGTGAGAGTTGGAAAGAAGCCGTGCATTAGCCCTCAGGGAACCCAGTATGCACACACTCATTTCTCCTTGTGGGCTGAGCTCTGAAAGGGATTCAGAGCTGGTTGTCTTGGCTACTCCTTCTCATCAAAGAGGGCTTAAGAGCTTCTGTTGGTGTATTTTAAGCTTCCTCCCAGAAGGTCCCAGAGCTTGCTTCTGGGAATTGCCAGGGTACCCTGCCAAGTACTTTTTTGTTTGTTCTAGCAAAGTCCAGCTGCTGCCCCCTCCCACAGAAATCTCCCGTGGTCAGCTAAACCTGGTGCTTCCTGCTGTGGCCCTGTTAATTCATTCCTTCTTTACAGTTGTATTGAATACCTGCCATACATCAGGCACACTGGCATGTCTGAGGATACAAGGCAAGCTGAAGAAGTGCCATTCTGCCCTCAGGGAGCTTCAAGGTGGTCTGGAACAGTGAATGATGGCTGAGGCCCCTTTCTAGTAAATACACTACTATGTAAAACTGCTGCTTATGGGAGACCTGGGGTGAATTCTTTTGTAACTTGAATGATATCTATCTATCTATCTATCTATCTATCTATCTATCATCTATCTATCTATCTCTCTATCGAATTTGCTTGTTTCCTTTGGGATTGTTTGGTTTCATCTTTCCAGGTTTTATTAACCCTGGACTTGCAGGTTATTCCAAAGATTTCCAAAGCAGAGATCATGATGCAGCAGCCTTTGGTATGTGTTGGTGGAAACTCTCTGTGCAGACTGGTGAGAACTTTATTTCACAAAAATTAGTGTCACCAACTTAGAAAGAAGCAATGGGGAGGCCTGGGGAGATGGACTTCCAAAGATTTCTTTAGGCAGCCATTTCCTAAAGTTAGATTTAGAGAACACTGGTTCCACAGAGAAGTAGTAAGTCTAAATTATGGAGGAAAAGAGTGGTCCCTGGTCCAATACCGATGCCTTTTCTCTGGAAACAGAGGTCTTAGAGGGGCTAGAGCATGGTATTCTCCAAATTTCATTTTTCAAGGACACTTTGTTTATGTTTTTTTAAATTATTATTATTATTTTTCGTACTAGGGATTGAATTTAGGGGTGCTTTCCATGAAGCCACATCCTCAGCCCTCTTTATTTATTTTTAAAAATTGAGACCAGTTCTCACTAAATTGCTTGAGTCACTGGGATTAAGCCATCACACTTGGCTGTGTGTGTGTTTTTAATCACAGCAAATAGAGCAGACCAACACTCTTTTGAGTGTGCTCCAGAGTCATTCCACAAATGACATTGAGATCTGCCCTTAGAAATGGATTTGGACTTCTATGTAGGCTGCTTCCAGGCAGTTATCTGAGGAGAAGGATGAATAGAGAGGGAGTTGTGGTCAAGCTGCATCTTTATAGCAAGAACATGGTATTGATAGGTAACTTGTGGCTTAAAATAGCAAAATCATCTGATGGTGCTTTTGTAAATCACATTTCCAGGTCA